ATATATATATATGTATACATATATATATATGTATACATATATATATATATATATGTATACATATATGTGTTTTAAAAACCACCATATGTGTTTTAAAAACCACAGCAGAACAAACTCCTCCTGCCCAAGTCGACCAAACACTGGTCTATATAAAGAACTGACAATGTATAATTCTCGCTTCTCATTCAAGCAGCCCCAGATATGATTGCAGGTTTAAGTTGTGGTTTCTAATGTTGTTGACTTATGACCTCTGAAAACAGAACCCTGAAACGCTCCTGACCCTCCCACTAGATTATAGGCCTGCTGTGGGAGCAGTTTATTTGGGAGCCGTCTTCATCAGAGACAATATCAGTCCTCTTTCAGAGCTGCTTTATTTTTGGATGTTAAATACTGTAGAAACTAATGTTGTGACGTGACAAAAACAGCAGTTTTAAAGAAATAATAATTAAAAAAATCAACATCTTTGTTTCAGTCAACTAAAATAATTAGATGTCATTGTCGTTTAATAACCAGTAGAAGAAGTTTAATCTGTTTTTACTTATTTTTATGTACTATTAGATTATAATAAATTATTATTTTGTTGCTTTTACACAATCTTTATTTGAGTATTATAATGTTTTAAATGGTGACAGTAAGTTTTCTTTCATTCTATACATTTGTAAATGGTGAAACTGTTACTGGACTAATAAGCTTTAAATGAGTTGAATAATCCAGCTATATGGACCAATTCAAAGCTCTTATGTGCTGGTTCAAAACCCTGACTTGGCTAATGTACCGCAGCCTCTCGCAGAATAATAATTCATCATTTACAGACCTTATTGCAATTCAACTCCACCCGATCCACACACGCTCACTTACACAAACACTGACTGACACACAATTCTACAAATGACTTCACAAAAGTAGCTGCGATCAAAACAAAGTCTGTACCAAAGCGACTGGAGAGCTGGCGTTTTTCCCCCTTTAAAGACTCTCTTTCCTCATGATGAACATCAGTCTCACACATTATTATGCATATTATTATGGCTGACTAAGTACATGCAATAAAGAGCTTCAGTAAACCTCTCAAATCCTTAGACGTGAATGGCTGCACCAAACATCAGAGAGATGCATAATCCGAGCAGTTAGGGAATAATTAGCTTTCACAGATTAGTGGATGAAGAGGTGGAAACGTGTCACTTTGATTTCAAAGAACCATGTTTCAACCTTTTGGTTCACAAAATTGACCTTGATGCCTCTGTCACCGTCAACAAAACAGGGTCTAATTGACCACGCGCTGTTGATGCTGGAGTCGTTCCAAGGGCGAATTCAACAGAGAGTGTCCAATATTTCTGAGGACATTTATGTTGTTGTGTCAGAACCATGTGCTGAGAGACGAGGAGAAGGACGTCAAATGTTTGTCGTCGCTACTTCTAAAAGCTGTGCTCTCTTTTGAACTGCTTAGACCCAGTCAACCCCGTCAATCTGCAGGATTAGAGTTTTACCGTCGGAATACATGACCGTCTCTGTTTCTGCAGGGAAATGTAATTACGCAATCACCACTTGTCAGTCTCGTCATTTCCTCTGGATCACTGTTTGTCTCCGCTCCTGCACCTGCGTCAGCCGACGACTGAAGCCAGCCGCCCTGAGGGGTGATTTGATTTTACCCTCTCAGATTCTTTACTACTGAGTCATTTATTTTATGTTTTGGGTTTTTAACGTTTCGTACTGTATTGTCGATTTAACGTAGCTACCAAACTTCAGTCAGTAATGAAGTCAATTCCTGATACAGAATACAGTGTAATTATGAGAACACAAAGTACCAGTCATGATGGTAAAAACTCTGCAGGTCTTTCTGTGCTTGGAAACCTTCCTTCTACCTCACAGTGTGACTCAGAAAGCTTATCTGTATGAAGCGACACACTCAGATACACACATACACACACACACACACACACTGCCCTTGTGTCTCCAACACGCAGAAACTCTTTCCAGTCAGAGTTGGAGTAAACAGCAGGTGACAGCAGCTGCAGTTTTCTGCTGTAGCACAGCTGATAACAGGAGCCTTGCTATGACACACTGTATGTTAGCTGTTGTTTTTCCTCTGCTTATTCGAGGTCACACATTTGGAAGGCCATTTCCACCAATGACTTTAAACTAATCCCATATGGCAGTCTTCAAACAAGGTAACATCTTAATATTATGTGAAAGTATCTTAAAATAGTGAATTAGTATTTTCTTTTGAGATATTATTTCAATTTGAAGATCAAAGAAAAAATACTGATCCCTGGTGTAACCCTAACCCAACCTTGAACCCATCAGTCACTCTGACAGCACACCTCACTACTGTCTCACTGTCCAGCATGATCTTCACATACTTTTCTGCCACTCCAATACAAATAAATATAAATAAATATTATAAGAAGCATTACTTGATACAGGTATCAAAATATTCTGAGATAATATTCTAAAATATTACCTCCTCAAAAATCATCGATTAGGGATGTTCAATAATTCTCACCGATATTACATACCTAACCTAATGTCGGACAATAATATTGGTTGGCCGATATTAGCTTAAGTAGGTAATATCGTTGAGAATCGTTATTGGTTTTTCCTCCGATAATAAAAACCTGCGCAATGCTTGGGTTAACGATGATGTGACCTAAAACAAAAATTTGACGTGAAAGTGAAACTATTATTTGTATTGTGCAGTATTGTCATTGCGACACACCACTGTACACAATGAAATGTGTACTCTTCCTTTAACCCAAACGGCTGCATATATCGGAATCGGAAACTAAGTGTTTGGACAATATAGGATATCAGCAAAAAGTTAATATCGGACATTCTTCATAGATATTTTTCCATCGTTTGGACTTTGGTGGAAGTTGACTTGATTACACACAGGCAGCAGTCGTCGTTGTTACCGTTATGTAAATCACGTTTATCGAACTCTTCTCAGAGGAAAGCCCTTCACCACTAAGTGGACGCAGGTATCGCGTTTCTTCGAACTTTCCTTTTTACTCGCATCAATATCTTCCTGGCTCTTCGTCCACCCCTCGTCTCTGCCAACACACGCATCAGAGCTAATGCACAGTTTGTGTGGCACAACTACACTCAGTTACTCAGGTCCGTTCAGCGTGTCAAGTTAGCAGATATGCTAATCAGCTGCCCTGCTCCTCTGTAGCCCCCCCTGTCTGTCACAGGGCTGTGGGAGGATCAGAGGAACAGCTGTCAATTATTCATCAGCTCTCTGTGTGTCACCGTGGCTCTCAGAGATGGGGCTGCGATTGTCTGATCTGCGTCCATCTGTCTTATCACTCGTCCACTCGTCCCCATAAACGCCGCTCTGACCCTGACCCTGTGAATTTAAAGGATGACCGCTGATGCAAATGGAAACATTTTCCATGTGTGCAGCGAATAGAAAATTGTTTGGACTCAACTCTTTTCCATCCATTTGCTTCTCAGCATTATTTAAATCTACACTGGTTTAAAAGCCAAAAACAATAAGTCTATTGTTCTAACTTCTGGCCTCAATTCTCCCTTTTTTTTTTCCAACTCCCTGTTGTTTCTGAGCGTCCACTTACGGTTTTGCTTATTAATTATTGCTGAAACCTAATACAGTAGTCTGTCTTCTTTACTGTGCTGCTGCGGCAGAGATCCTGTCTGATCTATGTTGTGTTTATCTGTGTCTCCAGTTTAAGTGTGTGTTTTTTTCATGATGTTGACAGAGTTTTTACTGACCCCTACGTAGACACTTGATATCGTACCTTACACGTACACTACGTAACTTACATAAACTTAGTATTAACTTTTTTTTTACTTTTCTATTTTTTATTTTGTTGCTTTTTTCGATCTCTATTCTTTCTTTCTTCTCATATTTATCGACAATTTCATGCTTTATTTCCATGGTCATCGGTTTCTTCTTCTCACCACCATCCTTACCGCTCACTCTCTTAGGACTCATCACTATTGTGAAGAATAATGCTGAAAATACGGAGAAAATCACGTAGATAACGCAAACACAATACGGAAGACAGAAGTCGACGAACACCTGAAGTGGTGAGTGAGGCGGCCTGGGCTGCTCCGAGTGCTCGGCCACCTGGTCTCGGCATGATCGCATCTCGAATCTTTACTCATATTTTGAAGCAAAAATTTGCTCAAAGGTTTGCTCGTATCTCGAGGTATTACTGTAACAGTTACCATTACTAATTGACTCTTGTTGTAAGGCACGAATGTTAACCACTTCTGACCGTCTGGCCCAAAATTCAATATAAGCAGAATAAAATGGAAATCATGCATATGATGTTCTATAAAAATAGAAATATATTATATATATTAATACCATATAAACTCTATTAGAGACTGTGACGTTGGCTCTTTACCCAGAAAGAAATCAGGCCGATAAGGCCAGCTACGGAGCTCCACTGAAGGCAGCACGTTTACCCTTCCACACAACAATAATAAGGTGACACTCACAGCTGTCCCCGACATCCATGTCCCCGTCTGATGGTTGTCCTTCTGTTCTGCAGCCACTAAGTCAACACTCTGGTTTGCCCTTGAACACAAGGACGCATGTTTACTGTCAGACATCCACATGGAAACGCAGCAGCCGCTCACGAAACAGCCTCCGGCGCTAATGACACAAAAACAACATCAAATTCAGAGTGGTTTTTTTAGTTAGCCTTAGGGGGAAAATAAAAAGAATAAAGAACTTTATGAACCTTTCACAGAATATATTGTGTTGGAAGGTTATTACTGTCTTCGCAGCATCATGTTGTTAACAAGCCACGCTTGATTTCAAAGGAGCACGGCAAAGAGCATACACACACACACACACACACAGAAATAAACATCCCTACGTAAGGAGGACGAGAGGAAACCCATGTTTCACCGAGTCCGATCTCAGATGTTATTCTAAGAACAGAGATAAAACAATATGATCATTTGTCCTTTCTCTACAGCTTTCTGTGAACCTTCTGTTCTGTTTGTTTGTACAGTGTGTGTGTGTGTGTGTGTGTGAGACTGTGTCAGCACGGAGGTTTGTTAACCTTAATTAAAGCGAAAGGTTCACACATGTTTACTAGTTAGATTTGATTGTTATTATTTTCCGCAGGAAACCAGTGAAATACATTCAAACAGATTCATTTAGATGAAATAAAGACAAACATGAAGTCACTCCCAGGTCAAATCTGTCAGATATTATTCTAAATATATCATGCTTATTATGTACTAAATATATATATTAAGTATATGCATCTATAAATATATATATACTCTATGCATATATATGCATAGAGTATATACACATACATACATATATATAAATATATACATAAACATATACATATATGTATGTATTGTAAATCATACTCATATTTATCACAGTTAAACTCTGTAAACTGTATTTTTTTTCCATATTCTTTTACACTTTCAGCTGTTGGTGGAGTTTTCTTGAATTAAAAAATAATAAATGAAAAATAATGGGGAAAAAAACAACTAAATTTTTGTCGCACACCAAACACAACTACGCAACACTGACAACTGTGGTGTGTTCAAGAACAACATCTAAAGTATTATAAATCCACACAGGTTTACATTTAATTAGTCTGTTCATGGAGGCACAGAACGACTCCTTAATGTTACTTTATAAACCATCAACATTACCACTGTTACACCGTGTTAGTGTCAACACTCACCTGGTTCCCTCTGTTCTCCACTGGGACAGGTCTCCTGTCACCTGACGGAGAAGCCATTTTTATAAACTTCCTACAGGAAGTGGAAGAGACCAAGGCAGGACAAAGACGGGGGTGAGCCAGGGTTTTTGATTTGTCTGTATCCAGTGTTGGTTGACTTTATTAAAATGTCTCTAATGTGGTTTAATAGGAGCAGAATTTAAGTATTAGTTGTTTTGATTCTGTGTTCTCTGTGACTGTTCAAACACGACGCCCCGCTCTTGTTACCACAGTCATCCCTG